CGAGGATAATGATCACTATACTGGGGAGGAGGAGGACGACGCGGATGACGATGATGATGATGATGGTGGGGTTATAGATGCAGATGAGCTGGAGCCCCCACTTCCCCCCAGGGGATCTTCTTCCACTACGGAGACACGAGCGAGGCCAGCCCTCCTCCGGTCCTTCTGTTCCGTCGATGGATTTCTTCACCGAGCAGTTCCACCATATGGGGCTCCAGTTCCAACAGCTTCGGCTCCAGAACCAGCAGCTCATGGACCACCAACACTAGTTTCAGCAGCAGTATTCAGCCCACCAGGCTGAGTACGTCACCAGGATAGCTGCATTCGACGAGCGCCTCGAGCACCTGCTCCAGTCCTATCATCCACCGCAACAACACCAGTGGACCACTCCGTGGGAGCATTCACCGCGACCACCACCACCACTGTCGGATGACTTTGGCGACTTCATGGAGCATATTAACTTCGACCACCTCGAGTAGGATGTACTCATTGGCATTTCTCTGTATTGTCATGTGTTTTGTTTTGGGACGGAGTGCAAATTGGATTTATGTGTTTGGTTTGTTTTTTTTTTCTTTTGGATGATGCACTATTGGGCTGAAAACTCTACCTAACGCCTTTGTGTTTGAGTGATTGTTTTTGCTCTAGCCTGTGATCTTGCTTCGACTGGTCCCATTTCCTGTCCTCCTCTCTCTGACTGGTCCACTTTCTAGTCCTGCTGCAGTCTGTTCATCCCGGTAACATCGTTCCCCTTATCCTTCCCTCTTCTCCATTGAGGGCAATGTCGAACTTAAGTGTGGGGGGGAGGGGGTGTTTCTATTTGTCTGCGTAGATATGTTTGTGTGCTTGGAGCCTAGTCCACTGTCCAAATTTTGATTTGAGGGCTCCAAGTACTGTTCCCTGCAATGTCCTGCTCAGTATGCTTTGAATTGACAGTCTTTATTGTTATATTCAACCTAGGGAGGTAGTTGTAGCACTATGGAGGATGTTGAAGTATAAGATTTTTCCTATCTGTCTCCCTGCTGTGCCGGTTGATTTTGTGAACTAGTGGATTTAGGATCGTTGATTCATGTGGTATTGATGACTCTCCTTATGTTGTGATGTTGACTCGTGTATCGAAAAATGTGCTCAATTATGTGAAATGAAAAAGAAGTTGGTCCTCCGTGTCAAAACTTTGAAAATTTAAGACATGGGGTAAGCCCAACGTGTGTGGCACTGTTCATTGCACAAAATCGGGTTTTCGAAGAGATTTTAGTGATCCTTATTGGGGATAAGCCTATAAGGTGAAGCTAAGCTGTCTCTGGTACAAGTAAAAATTCCACCCGTTGAACGGTTTGCCTACTTGAGGATGTGTTTTTAAGGGCACAGATAGAGCGTCTGACACCCCTCAATTTCATCGAACCTCCACACGAAATGAGGAAACGGAGTTAAAAGAAGTACTCTGGCGAGCGGCATGTACAGAAATTGCTCTTGCTCACCTAACAAGGGCCAATCACGCATAAAAAAAAACTATAGTTGGAACCCCAGCAAAGTGAAACAAAAGAAAAAGGAACAAATAACAAGGAAAAGGGGTTCCAACAAGTGAGATGAAATGAAAGAGCACCCGATACAAAGAGTCATTGGTTGTTAAATTGTGTGAGTCTCCGTATCCATGAATTGGTTGTCTTAGTTCCACTGCTTCACAAGATCCTGGTTTGAGTCTAGTACTCGCATTAAGAGAGATAGGGGATGTCTTAGAAGACCAGTTGACCTCGTAAGCTGCTGAATGATCTAGGAAATCCTCCGAGGACGATAAGCGTTGCATGTTGCTGTAGAGGTCTGGAGAGCTGCATTGGTTTGGTCAGGTTTGCTTGGGGACAAGCAAACGGTTAAGTGTGGGAGAATTTGATAGACCGTTATTTGCAAATGTTTTGGCCGTCATTATTGAACCGTTTGAGAGTCGATTCTCGTGTTTTAAGTTGATTTCACGCTAGGTTATGCATTTACGTCATATTTCAGGACTTGGTGCGGAAAGGGAGACTTGGAGGCGAGTTTCGGGTAGAAAATGGAGAGTTGGCGGCAAGGAGGAGATGACAGGCGAAATACCCAATTAGGTCACTATAATACCCGACCGAGGGTAAGTGTGTTGGGACCGGATAAATGGAGATTTGGAGGTCGGGGAAGCAGAAGGGGTCCTGACCGAGAAGCCAAAATACATGGCCAGTCCTCTTAATACCCGACCAGGTATTTGGGTTGGGTATCGGGATTTGCTGATGTTTCAAGCAAAGTTTGGGCTCTTTGGGAAGCAATCCGAGTTTTAGAGAAGGAAAGCAAAAAACCTAGAGAGAGAAAGCAACGAACAAAGCCTCCAAGTGACCTAGATCGAGATTCAACATCATTGGAGCTCGATTGAAGCTTGGAGAAGTGCCGATTGATTACTAGAAGCTGATTTTTATCCTCCAAAGAATGATTTATGCATCTGAAACTGATTTCCATTCTCTCTCTATGGAGTAAACTCTCTCTCTCACCTGGGTATGAAGAACCCTAGATTTGTATGTTAGGTTTGGTTGTATGAACCCAAGTACATGTTCTTGTGACATCGATTATATTCAATTGAGGCATGATTTTCTGAATTGCATGAATCCTGATCAAATTCTCGTGGTTCCTGCTTTGACCTAGATTGAGAATATCTGCCTAGGTTGATAGAGCACCCTTAATTGAAGGTGGTGAATCGACTACTTTAGTCGAGGAGTCAATTCACTGCTCTGTACTGGATTTACTCCAATAGAGGAGGTTTTGCACGTTAGGGCCTCAGTTTATTTACTCCGGTGGAGGTTAGTCGCTCGCCGGGTATTCAGATTGAGAGGGTCTGGAGACCTTTAGTCGAGACTTCAGACTGAATAAGAACCTTCCGCAAGATAACATTCATTGAATCTGGACTTGGAGAATTATAACCTGACTTAACTGCAATCTAGGGGGAACCATATATGGGTGACCTCTCAAACTTGAACCACAACCTTTGCTGCTTTGTGTTTGTTTAGATTAGTTAATACTTCACTACAGTTAAACCGCTAAATAATAAGAAATTCACGAGTAGTCATCACATCTAGGACCTGGGTTGACAATTAAAGCTAAACCCGCTATACTATGCATTAGTTGGTGGTTACACTTGGCCACTTTCTAGTGAGACGGTACAGTTGAGTCAGCATCCAATAAAAAAAATTTCATTATCTATATGCTCGTTACATCCAGAGTCTATAACCCAAGTTTCTAAGGTAACGAGTTGAGGAGAGAACGTACCGACCATGTTTGAGGAAGCCTCGATGGAAGCTGAAGCAGGTTGCGAAAGATCAGACCCCAACAAAGCCTTCAAGGCCGTGATTTGTGCCGCAGAAAGACCTGGTAGCGGGCTGGAGGCTACGTCGACCTGTGCTACTTGTGGGGAGGCGCGCAGATTACGGTATGGACGCCGAGAACCTTCTGGCCGATCATTCCCTCGCTGTGGATAACCCACAAGCTGATAGCATGTTTTTTTGCATGACCACGTCGGCGACAATGCAAACAACGAGGGCGATCATCCGAGTCCCGATCTGGCCGAGTGGAAGGGCGCTCCAATCGATCTTGACGTCGCTCCCCCTGAGCCTGGATGGCAGCTGCTTCAGGCCTAGGGGAACGATTGTTGGAAATTTGGCGCTGTTGGGCATCATTATTCACTAGTTGATATGCTTCCCCGAGGCTTGGGATCGGCTTCGTCGCAAGGATTTGCGATTTCATTGTGGAGAAAGCATCATCTCATCCCATTAGAAAATAAAAAAGCCTTTCACCTTCACGTACCTCACTCGTTTCACATCACAGCTCCTGCCGGAACATGTGCATTCGAGCGAAGGTGTAAGGAATTTGATTTCATCCCAAAGCCTACGTAGCCTGGTGTAGAACGTTGAGACAGACGGTTTCTCTTGCTGAAGCGAGATGATGGTTCGTTTAAGCTCGTACAGGCGTGAAGCGCTACCTGCTCCAAATCGAGTTTGTAAATCGACCCAGATTTCCCGCGACGTGGTTGCAAAATGCACACTGCTGCGGACTTCCTTTGTCATGGAGGTTTTAAGCCTGCCCTTGACCTTTGCGTTACATTGCTTCAACACTTCAACTTCAACCGGAGTTTGTAACGCAGGGAGACTTCCATCCACGAAACACAACTTATTCTTGGCGATGAGCGAATCAGTAAAATCCACTACCCACTCACTGTAATTTACATCACTAAGCAAATCACCCACGTAAAGATGACTAGGGCTATCGAATTGATGAAGGAGAAGATGCGGTGGCAGTGCCATTAAGGGAGAAGCTGCCGACTTCAACTTGGAGGATGAGGTCTTGCTCTCGTCGTCGGACATGATGAAAGACTAGGTCGGATCAGACATGCTTTGATACCATGTAAAATTCGAGAAGAAAATAAAACGAGACACGTGATTTACGTGATTTCCCCGTTCGATGTGAATGGACTACTCCACGAAGAGTTTGAGGCTCTCGGGCTGAAAGTATAATTATCACTCGTTCTGTTAACTTCCCAGAAGCTACAGCCGCCTACATATATAACAAAGTAACCGTAGCTCTCTTAAACCTAGTGCAACGTGGAGAGAAGGAAAAGTTACAAAGTGATCCCCAAATTTATGAATGAATATTTAGGGATCACTACATCGTGATTTGTAGCACACTATCCTCAATTATGATCTTGAAATTCTCAAGTACTAATGGTTTCATGATAATTTTTCAGTTTTGCTTTCGGCTTCCTGATCCTTCGCCGTTTTCCTAAGTGAAAAGGAGAAGCAACTTCCCTACGGCTGGCCTAGTCCCTAGCTATATAAATTCAGCACTCCTACTTCCCACTAGGTGTATACATAGTTGTAGTAGAGTAATTTTTTCCGGTAAAAATACACTGTAGTTTCCATCGCATTCTGATTTACTAATATGGCCGTCGTAGCAAAGCAAAGTGTGTCTATGTACAAAAGGGAATATTCACCGATATCATGACAAGGCTGCGCGACGGTCGAAGTATTGCGCGGTTTCGCTGCGTCAGCAAACTATATTGTTGTCTTCTCTCCGACCCCAACTTCATCCACCGGGTTCTCTGGTCGGACGACAACCATAAAAAGGAGGAGGAGGTAAAGAATCATCCAACACAGATTCTGATCACACGCCGCCGCCGCTCTTTCAGCCGCGATCATTATAGGTTCATTTACTCTATAATCTCGTACAACGCCGTCACAGGAGCCTTGCGGCCCGTTATCGGGAAGGATAATAATAAGGATGATAATGATACGAAGTCGAATGATCATAAGGATGGTTTAGTTGATTTGGGATATTTAGGCTTGCCCTCGGTTCCCGGAAAGTTTCGGGAACTTCCTTATGACGGTTGGTCTCGGTTCCACATTGTGGGTTGCTGCGACGACATAATTTTGCATAGCAGACCAGATTCCTGGCGAGCCGGCGGACATCATTCTCTGGAATCCTTCGACTTCCAAGGTCAAGATTCTGCCCACTTCATCGAATCGTTCCGATGTCGTTTTGCAGCAACTTGGGTTCGGTTTCGACTCGAAAACAAAGGACTACAAGGTGGTTCGAACCCTGGTTTTCTGTCCTAGTCTTACGAGTTTCACCGAGGTGTATAGCTTGAGGAATGATTCGTGGAGGAAGCACGATTACACTGTTAACTACGACGAAGAAGAGCATAATCCCCCGTATCTTGGAGTGGTTCAATCCCCGGGATCGAAATGTGAGAGGGTTTGCTGGTACAATCCGAGCGGGCGGGGTTATAAAGGTATCGCTTCTTTCTATATGCGAACGAAAGAATTCGTCAGCCATAACTATCCTATGAGTCTAAGGCGAACTATGAAGGGTCGCGACCAGGGTTAAAAAGTGGAGTGTGCTTGTTTCTTAAAACTGGAGGAGATTTGTTCACTTTCAATCCTGAGATAGGAGAAGCTGTAGATGTCCCGAGTGTTCAGGCGATAACGGAGAGGTGTTCTAGTCATGATCTGAATCTTCTGGTCGCCACTTACAGTTATGTCTCATCTCAGTTTTCGATCTCAAGCCTCACTATATAGGACCTTTTGTGCATAATTTTTTTGGATAAATACAATTTAATTGCCAAACGTTTCATTTTAAACAAAATAATAGTCAAACCTTTTGAAAAACAAAATAATAGTCAAACCGTTAACTTTCCGTCGAGTCAACAATTAGTTGACTCTGACATGACATATATAAGTACACGGTAGCCAATATATATTTCTTTATCATTTAATTCAATTATCAAATATTTATTATTAAATTATAAAAATGAAAAGAAAAAACATAGAAATCCCCACCACCCTCCTTAGTGCCCTTTCCCATCCTGCCGCATCTCAACTTTTTTCCTTTCTTCCTCTCCAGCCGTCACTTATTCCTCTCTCGCCACCGATTTCACCACACTAGATCCAAGGTTTAATTGCACCCAATGGCACTTAAGTGAAGATAATGTTGCAGGGTTAGCACTAAACAAATTTTATTGCAACTAATCCCCTTACCTAAGTTTCCGGTTGCAAAGCTACCAGTTCCGTCGACGGAAGTAACGGTAGGTACCAAATACGTAATTTGCTAGGACAAGCAGGCAGGACATGTCAGTACAGCTTGCTGTCTCATCTTCAATCCAAATGACTCATCCAAGGGCCACACCAAACGGGCCCACTAACATTCGAAGACTCTTTTGGGGGGAACCCTCTTTTGATCAGCCGACTTCTCCTCCGACCTTTCCTCTCCCTCCTCTATACTCTGTACTAGAATTTCGCAAAGACGAAATCCTTCGCCAAGAAACATGACCGCGAGACGAAAGGGGGGGTGGATTAGCAAGACGTTCGTGTGGCGAAAAGAAGAATAACAAGAATAAATAAGTCCCATCCAGGTACCAATCGTTCTTTCATGCTATTATTCATTCCCCTGTTTTACCTTTTCTCGTATGAATTATGATAAGTGTGTGTGAGTGAACTACAGACTAGACCCAGCCAGCCGTCGCCTTGATGCATTAGAAACAGACACCTGCCCTAGCCTGTCTGTTTTTGGCGACGAGATTCGCTCGTTCAACGGAGCATAGCGACGCAGCCATTCCCCAACATAGACCTGTTGTGGTCTCATGATCTTTGTGTTTGGATCATCCAGAGACTCTCACCAGTGTGCCAAGTAACCAGCCATCCGAGGGATTGCAAATAGAACAGGAAAGAACTCAGTGGGGAATCCCATAGCCCTGTATATCAACCCCGAGCGTATTGTGTGTTGTTGCTGCAAAGATGAGTCCATCCATTAGGGAAGTAGGAGATATTAATCAGATCCCAACATATGGTGAGTTGTGTTTTTGCTACAATTTTCGTCAGCTAATGACAGGTTTCCAAATGCTAAGTTTATTTTTGTTGATTTTGGCAGGAATCGGTGATGACAAGTTTACCATCGAGCTCCATTATAAAGGAGAGATGTTGTATGTTCTCGACGAAGACTTGTGTTATTTTGGAGGTGAAGTTAAATATCTGGACTGGATAGATCCAGATTGCTTATCTTTGTTTGAAATGGATGGATATCTTGTTGAGTTTGGCTTCTCGGAAAGTGTCAGAATGATGGAGGAATATAGGCTGAAGAATGGTTGGGCATACTATTGGAGACTATCAGGAGAACGACTGAAGGAAGGGCTACAAGAATTGAGAAGTGACAAAGACATTATGGACATGGCTGCAAAGGTTATTCAAGTCTCTAAGTTTGTTGAGGTTTACCTGATCAATATAGAAGAATTGACTAAAGCTAACCTAGAAGCAGACAAAGGAGAAAATGAAATAGAAGTTGGCAGAGACATTCTCCAAAGCCCACTTGAAGTACCACATGATATGGCAAAGACATTCTCCCACAACAATGGAACTGATGGTGGCATTGATGGTGGCAGCAAGGGAATGAATGAGGCAGAATATGATTTTGCCTGCCAAAACAATGCAGGGGAGGCTGAAAGAGAAGGTGACAGCAGGGAGCTGGTTGAAATTAATATTGATGACAATGTGGAGAGTGATCTTGAACGAGGTTTGGCTGCTGATTTTGAGGCCAGTGATAAAAATATGGAGTGGCAAAGCAGTGATGGGGAGGGTGGCAGCCATGACATGTATATTGATGATGTATTTGAGGTTCCTGAAGAGGATGAGGCATATGATTCAGATTACCTAGGCAACATCCATTCAGGTGAAGAAGGCGAACAACAAAGGGTTCCAACTCGTTCAAGGTACCCTGAGTTCAATCCAGAGAAAGACATGAATGATCCCCAGTTCTGTCTGCACCAAATTTTTAGGGATAAAGACACTTTCAAGGATGATGTGAAGAACTACTCTATCAACAGCAAACAACCACTCAAGTTTAAGCACAGTGATAGTAAACGAGTTCAAGTTGTATACCAACCCGGATGTCCATGGAACATATGGGTAGCCCCAACTGATAAGGCAGTTCAGATCAGATCATGTTGTCTAAGGCATGAGGGTTGTGTCTTGGTGTTCAAGAACACATTTGGGGATGCTAATTTCATCGCCAAAAGATACATACAGAGGTTTCAGGCTGATCCGGATTGGGGAGCTGCATCAATTATGCAAACAGTTGCAGAAGACTATAATTGGACTATTTCAAGGTGGAAGGCTTGGAGGATTAAACTACTTGCAAAGGATCTTATAAGAGGCAATGCTAAGGCCCAATATCATAAGCTATAGGACTATTGTGCTCAAGTTCGTAGGACAAGTCCCGGTTTAACCTGTTATGTGGAAACAACTGAAAATTCCAATGTCTTCAAGAGAATGTACTGTTGTTTAGAACCCTGTAAGAAGGGGGCTGCTTTCTGTAGAAAGGTAATTCTGCTTGACGGATGTCTTCGGAAGACAGAATATGGAGGACAATTATTGTCTGCAGTTAGTATAGATGGGAATGGAGGGAGTTTTCCTTTAGCATATGCTGCAATCAAAGTTGAGAATGGAGACAACTGGACCTAGTTCTTAAACCAGTTCTGTCTAGATCTTAATATCTTCAAGGATCCAGGAAGGTGGACATTCATGTCAGATAAGCAAAAAGTAATGATATTTACTTAGTGAATACGGCTTCTTCAGTAGAGTAATAAGATATTGACATGTTTATTGTTTTGTAATGCTATTTTGCAGGGCCTATTGAATGTTTTGGAGAGTGTTGTTCCACATGCCGAGAAGCGATGTTGTGTGAGACACTTCGTTTCCAATCTGTTTGGGGCACAAGGAGGTAACAAAAAAAATCAAAGACTTATTATGGAATTGTGCTAGAGCTAGTTATGCATAAGAATTTGAGAGGTGCATGACTGAGTTTAAGGCTTATAATAAGACAACTCATATGTGGTTGCTTGATAAGTCGTTTTCACAATGGACGAGAACACACTTCCAGCCATATTGCAAGTCAGATGTGTTGACAAACAACATCGCTAAAAGTTGGAATAACTCTTTGGTAGGAGCTAGGACCAAATCGATCATAAGCATGTTCGAGACTATTAGGAAAATTTTGATGCATCGATTTCGTGTTAGGAAGGAAACTGCAGTGTTGAAATGGAAGGGTCGTTTCTGTCCTAAAATCTAGAAAAAGCTAGACTTGGCTCTGATGACTCGATATTTGCACATGTTTTCCCCTTTGTTTCTTGATCTTTTAAGCTTGCATTATCGCTTCTTTGGCCTATTTTACGCTAGGTTGTGTTCCTTTGTCACATTTCAGGTTCTAGCACGTAAAGTGAAGCGTAGGCGCAAGTTTCAAGTCAATCGGAGATCAATTGGCGACTCGGAGGAAGAAACTCGGGTATGACTTGAAGAAGAATGGATTTCTACCTCAGTTTGTGACCATATAATAATTTAATCTTGTCATGAGAAGAAAGAGGACGAGAATACGAGCGTCTGGGATCAAACGGCACCTGATTTGGAGTCCGAACGAGGGAGAAAAGAAGAATCAAAGATAGGGGAAAATTGGTTTCGGCCTTCTCTGAGAAACAGAAGGGGGCCCTATCGTGACGCTAAAATCCCCGGTAGGGGATTTTTGGCCTTGATAGGGGATTTTCACAAAAATCCCCTATCGTGAACCAAAAATCCCCTATCGCGAATGCAGGTTGTTAAAAGCCTGTTTTGTGCGTTTTTGCAAGGGAGAGCTGGGTTTTGGATCCCAAACACCCAAGGGACGAACCAAAGAGAGAGAGGGAGATTTTAGGGCATTCTAAGAGTGGAATTGGAGGATTTCTTCTCCTTGGAAGCTCGAGGAACAAGCGCGGACTTGAAGATTGATCACCTAAAGATTCTTACTGCAGTCTCTCTCTTCTCTATGGAGTAACTTCCCTTCACTTAGGTTTTGAGGAACCCTAGCTATGTTTGTTTGATTGGATGATTGTATGAGTACTCTTACTTGATAATCTTGAGTTCATATTCAATCTATGCATGTTTTCATGATTCAATTCTGCTTTAGTCGAGATTATTGATTCTGCTTTGATCCTATGAGAGCGAATACCTGATTAGGTCAATAGAGCACCATAGATTGATAGTATTGGATCGATTGCTTTAGTCGAGGATTGATTCACTGCTTTGTATCGATTGAGAACCTCTTTCGATAGAGGGAGTCTAGCTCAGAATGCCTTGATCGGTTGTTCTAGAGAAGGATACGTCCCTCTAGGCAATTGACTCAAGAGGGCCTTGTTCCTTTAGTCGAGACTCAAGGTCTAGTTAAGGATTCTCCGCATTGTGAATGAAAGTGAAACAGTTAAGAGATCATTAATCATTAATCTGGCTAGTGGCTAGGGGGAATCATACCTAAGTGAGTTCCCAATCTGTGATTAAATTAACTTTAACTGTAGTTTGCTAGAGTAGTTTTAGTTCTTCCATCTTAATTTGGTTTGCTAGATAATGAACTGAAGCTGAGTAATAGTAACTCTAGAGACCCGTGGATTCGATATTTATTACTTGAGCCACTATACTGCAGTCCCTTTCATTGGTTACACTTGGCCATTGTTAGGAGTTGTGTCATAGCGAGTCAAGTTTTTGGCGCCGTTGCCGGGGACTTTCTAGATTATTAGGAAAGGCAGAAGTTTGTTACTTTAGCGTTTTTCTTTTCTTTTCCACCCTTGCTTTTCACTTGGGTGTTTTTGTTTTTGTTGGTGCAAATCTGAATCATGGATCCTCATGGCTTCTCCAATCGTTGGGGGTATCCACCACCATCCGAGTGGTATTACCCCGAGACCCCCTGGAGCAATCAAGGAGGAGAAGACTATGGATTCGGGTTCCAGTACCAACCCCCTTACTACGAAGAAGAATCTGACCCCTGGGCATATCAAGAACAAACTCATTACCAAGAAGACTTCCTCCCACATCCAGAAGGGCCATCGGAGCTGGAGTTACCCATGGCGGCCTTCACGGGCCATTCTGCAGAGCCATGCTACACTCCACAGCCAAATCTAAACTATGAATTGAGGCTTCTCATGGAGCAGTTTGCTCGAGACAGTGAGAGATCATGTGTCAGGATGGATCTTTGTACCCAGGCCTTTCGTGAAACAAAGGAGATCCTCCTGAGCCTTAAGAAGAGTGTCGATGATCTTGAGCGATCTTGTGCACAACCTGCTCTAGATCACCCTTCTGCTACCATACTAGAAGATGAGGAGGAAGAAGAAGGCTACAAGGACATTGTGGAGCAAACAGAGATTATCACGGAGAGCTCCCGTGAAGATCATGATCAAGAATGTCCTGTCGTAGCCGACCACCCCTTCCCACATCCCACACCGAGCTTTGAAGAGGCGGGCATGAGTGAGGAGATGCAAGAAGATCTCATGAAAGAAATTGCTTGGCAACTTGCTCTCCAAACCGTGCTAGAAGAAGAGGAACGAGAAAGGGTGCAGAAAGAAGTTGTGGAGGATGACGAAAGTGAAGAAGAAGGAGTTCTTGATCATTTCCCAGGGGTGATACCACATGAACAAGGAAGGGAGGTTGAAGAAGCAATTGGCGTCCAGGCCGAGGACGAAGGTGAGGTGGAAGAGTCCTGTACCGGCCATGAGTTGCAAGTAATATCCCCACCAAACTTCGAGGAACTGCTTAGCAAGGACCCATTTGCAGTGTCTCTTGGCCAGTCCAAGGCCACATCAACATTGGTTCCTCTTGGTGGACGCGATGGTGGTCAATCGATGTTGTCATATCTAGTTTGGGGCAATGAGACGAGAGAAGAGAAGAAGAGGTCTCGAGGGTGGAGACGTTATCTGCATCAAGTGCACGAGCTTCCATCACCTGTCATACCACATGTTCGTGACTTGAGACTCCACCTCATTGACGAGAACCTCAACTTCAAGGAGGTTCTAGCATGGACTGAAACTTAGGAACCATCGTCCGGCTCACAACGTGAAAGAAGCACTTGTTGGGAGGCAACCCAACCAGTCGGTTTGCATTTCTTTCTCTATTTCTCCTCGGTTGAGTCAGTTTTGTTATTTGATTTTGGATTCAATAACTCAACCTTTGTGAGATTTTGTGTGGTGTTTGTGTTTTGAGTACTCTCTCCTCCTGGAATGCACCGCCTGCCTCGTCCACCGTCATTCACCCTTGATCTGGTAACTTCGTTCTACCCTCCTAATCTTTCCTCCATTGAGGACAATGTCGTGCTTAAGTGTGGGGGGATGTTCGATTATGTATGCGGGTGAATGTTTGGCTGTTTGTGTGCTTGGAGCCTAGTCCATTGTCCAAATTTCGATTTGAGGGCTCCAAGTACGTGTTTCCATGCAAATTGCCTGCTCAGTATGCTTTGAATTGACAGTCTCTATAGTAATATACAACCTAGGGAGGTACTGTAGCACTATGGAGGATGTTGAAGTATAAGATTTCTCCTATCTAGCTCTCTGCTGTGCCAATTGATTTTGTGAATTAGTGGAGCTAAGACCGTTGAATTCATGTGGTAATGGTGACTCTGTTTGGATGGTGTTGTGGACTCGTGTATCGAACAGGGTGCTCATGAGGGAAATGGAAAGCAGTTGGTCCTCCATGTCGAAATCATCAAAATCCTAAACATGGGGTAAGCCCAACGTGTGTGGCACCGTTCATTGCACAAAATCGGGTTTTGGAGGAGATTTTAGTGATCCTTAGTGGGGTACTCCTACAAGGTGAAGCTAAGCTGTCTCTAGTACAAGTAAAACTTCCACCCGTTGAACGGTTTGCCTACTAGAGGATGTGTTTTTAAGGGCACGGATAGAGCTTCCGACCCCCCTTAATTTCATTGACCCTCCACACGAGTTGAGGAAAAGGAGTTAAAAGAAGTACCTTGGCGAGCGTCAGGTGTACAGAAATTGCTCTTGCTCGACTAATAAGGGTCGACCGTACAAAAGACTGCAGTTGGAACCCCCACCAAGTGAATGAAAAGAAACAAAAAAAAAAGTAAAATGAAAGTGAAAAAGGGGTTCCAACGGTGAAATGAAGTGAAAGAGAACCCCGGTACAACGAGTCTTTGGTTGTGAATTGTATGAGTCCCTTTATCCATGAACTGACTGTCTTACTTCCACTGCTTCTCATGATCCTGGCTTGAGTCTAGTACTCGCATTGAGAGAGATAGGGAACGTCTTAGAAGACCAGTTGACCTCGTAAGCTGCTATATGATCTAGAAAATCCTCTACCGACGATCGGGGTTGTTTGTTGCTATAGAGGTCTTGAGAGCTGCATTGGTTTGAGTTAGGTTTGCTTGGGGACAAGCAAACGGTTAAGTGTGGGGGGATTTGATGAATCGATATTTGCACATGTTTTCCCCTTTGTTTCTTGATCTTTTAAGCTTGCATTATCACTTCTTTGGCCTATTTTACGCTAGGTTGTATTCCTTTGTCACATTTCAGGTCCTAGCACGTAAAGTGAAGCGTAGGCTCAAGTTTCAAGTCAATCGGAGATCAATTGACGACTCGGAGGAAGAAACTCGGGTATGACTTGAAGAAGAATGGATTTTTACCTCAGTTTGTGACCATATAATAATGTAATCTTGTCATGAGAAGAAAGAGGACGAGACTACGAGCGTCTGGGATCAAACGGCACCTGATTTGGAGTCCGAACGAGAGAGAAACGAAGAATCAAAGATAGGGGAAAATTGGTTTCGGCCTTCTCTGAGAAACAGAAGGGGGCCCTATCGTGACGCTAAAATCCCCGGTAGGGGATTTTTGGCCTTGATAGGGGATTTTCCCAAAAATCCCCTATCGTGAACCAAAATCCCCTATCGTGAACCAAAAATCCCCTATCGCGAACGCAGGTTGTTAAAAGCCTGTTTTGTGCGTTTTTGCAAGGGAGAGCTGGGTTTTGGATCCCAAACACCCAAGGGACGAACCAAAGAGAGAGAGGGCGATTTTAGGGCATTCTAAGAGTGGAATTGGAGGATTTCTTCGCCTTGGAAGCTCGAGGAACAAGCCCGGACTTGAAGACTGATCATCTAAAGATTCTTATTGCAGTCTCTCTCTTCTCTATGGAGTAACTTCCCTTCACTTAGGTTTTGAGGAACCCTAGCTATGTTTGTTTGATTGGATGATTGTATGAGTACTCTTACTTGATAATCTTGAGTTCATATTCAATCTATGCATGTTTTCATGATTCAATTCTGCTTTAGTCGAGATTATTGATTCTGCTTTGATCCTATGAGAGCGAATACCTGATTAGGTCAATAGAGCACCATAGATTGATAGTATTGGATCGATTGCTTTAGTCGAGGATTGATTCACTGCTTTGTATCGATTGAGAACCTCTTTCGATAGAGGGAGTCTAGCTCAGAATGCCTTGATCGGTTGTTCTAGAGAAGGATACGTCCCTCTAGGCAATTGACTCAAGAGGGCCTTGTTCCTTTAGTCGAGACTCAAGGTCTAGTTAAGGATTCTCCGCATTGTGAATGAAAGTGAAACAGTTAAGAGATCATTAATCATTAATCTGGCTAGTGGCTAGGGGGAATCATACCTAAGTGAGTTCCCAATCTGTGATTAAATTAACTTTAACTGTAGTTTGCTAGAGTAGTTTTAGTTCTTCCATCTTAATTTGGTTTGCTAGATAATGAACTGAAGCTGAGTAATAGTAACTCTAGAGACCCGTGGATTCGATATTTATTACTTGAGTCACTATACTGCAGTCCCTTTCATTGGTTACACTTGGCCATTGTTAGGAGTTGTGTCATAGCGAGTCAGGCTCAGAAAGCTAGCTTCACTTGTAATGCCATTCAGAGTGGTCCATAGAAGTTTGAGGCTTCATGTCCTCAAGGTCAGGTTGTTGTGGATGTGAGCAAGTCCAAATGCACTTGTCGGATGTGGGAATTAACAGGTTTACCTTGCCCTCATGCCATACGCTGCATATGGCAACTCTCGAGAAGGGTAGAGCAGTATGTGGACAAGTGCTATGAGATTGGAACTTACCTTGCAGCTTACTCTAGTGAGGTGGAACCAATGGTTGGGCCAGAATCTTGGTTGCCAAGTGGGAAGGAGCCTGTGTTGCCACCAGAGCTAGTTGTAGAAGAGTCAAAGAAAGGAAGGCGCCAAACCAAAAGGAGAAAGGGTATTGAGGAGACAGTTGGTCCTGATAAACAGAAATGCAAGTTTAAAGCTGAAAATTAAAGAATGAGTAGGGAGGGGAAGGGGGCAACCATTCATTGTAGTGAGTGTAAGCAGCCAAGGCACAATAAGTCCTTCCATACAAAGGGGAAGAAGGGGAAAAACTCAGTAGAAGGTGCTGCATCAACTCAAAGATCATCAACAGAGGTGAGACTTTTATAGTTTTTTTATAGTTGTTTGCTTGAAATTAATTTAATTTCTCATGTTTATGTATCTGATTTGTAGGGAAGCACACAAGCTATGGGATCATCTGGTGTTGTTTTACAGTGGATGCAGGATGTATGGTATTAATGTTTAAATTCCATTATTATTTGAAAACTTGTATACCTTGTAGGGAAGCACTCGAACTCGTCCAATGCATATCTTAAGTCAAGCTGAAACTACTTCTTTCCCATCCCAACAAGGCAGTCAAATCTTCAATTCAGCTTGTCTTCCACCACGACAGAGCAGTCAATCTGAGGGACAAACAATGCGCTTTGCACAAGGCGAGGGAAGACCAAACAAACTTCCTATTGTTTCAAAAGGGAAAGGGCAGATGTGATATGTTTCATAGTTAAATGGGGTGGAACCATACAGTAAACAAACATGACTGTCAGCTGCTTTTGGTGATTATGTTACATAACTATCAGCTAGTTTTTTTGGTGGTTTGGTTTCCATTACATTTTTTGTGTTCATGAACATATACACTAATTGAAATTGAGCACACATTCTCCCTGGTTTATTCGGCTTGTCTATTTTATTGCTCTAACTAGGCTAAATGCAGCCTAGCTTTGTCCTTCGAAATATCCTGCATTTTGAAGATGGAAACAACACTTCTTTGTCCTCTCAAAGTTACTATACCTAGTCAAAGGATGAAGTTCTTCTCAACACTGTTGGCGAGGAAATTAGAGACCAGAAAAGTTCTTCCATTAGTCATGCAAATAGATCATCTATAACATATTGACTTTGAAATCAGGATTCATATGTTGAATAAGCTAGCTGTATCAGAGGCCCCCTATCCAACAGACAAAAATAATACTTCACCAACCATCTGAACACAGGCCCACTGCAGACTCTGCAGACTCTTTCCAGCATGCCATTACAGTCCGAAACATTGCTCCTTTAATACATAATCCGAAACATGTTCCAAATTCATTACATAATCCAAAACAGGTTTCCAATTGATAAATCATCCTAAACAGGTTCTCATCTCATTACATGTTCCCAAACAGGTAATCAATCACACTCTTAGCCAATAGAGTTCCAACCACAATAAAAAAACTTTTGCTCATTTCTCTAACAAATGAGCTGTGATTGTTCCTCCTCTCCACCTCTCGGATTCTCTTGTGCAATGCAAGAACAAGGCGCTTAATGTTATCTTCTAAGTGGTGGATCGATCCAATAGAAATAATTGCATGCATTTACACCCTACGAATCAAACAAGAGAAGAACCAGATCCATAGTTTAGATATGGGAAAGATTTAGCATTTGCAGTACACGCCAAAATGAAATGAAGATTTAATCAGCATACCCGATAATTGGCGCAGCCGAAGAACCATCTTCCGGGGTTGGCATCAGCCCACGAGGTTCGAAGAACCGCCGGTACAACGCACCGACACATTGGAGGTGTTGCCGCCATTGTCGACTTGGAGGAGGGAGGAAGAGGGTGTAAAGAGAGAAGGGTGTGTTTCGAGTGAGGAAATTTTGGGGATGGAAGGTTTGACAGAGAGTTTCCAGAATATAAGAGGAAGGGAAGAGCGGGATAACAACAGAAAAAGCAGGAAAATGAGCGGGAAAGAAAGGCTCGGATGAGTCATTTGGATTGAAGATAAGTCAACAACTTGTGCTGACATGTCCTGCCTGCTTGTCCTAGCAAATTACGTATTTGGTACCTGCCGTTACTTCCGTCGACGGAACTGATAACTTTGCAACCGGAAACTTAGTTAAGGGGATTTGTTGCAACAAAATCTGTTTAAGTGCTAACCCTGCAACATTATCTTCACTTAAGTAACATCGGGTGCAATTAACCCCGAGATCCAATCTCGAATGACTTTTTAGAAGGCTGGTTTGTATTGGAATTGGGGTTGGAGTTGGGTTCTCCTTAATTTACTTCGGGAGAGTCTGACGAGAGAGAGAGAGACGAGGAAGTGCTGGCAACGATGCGATGTGGAAGGGTCTCCAAGATCCCGTTAGCGCTGGCCTGGATCCTCATTGAAAGAGCTTTCGTTTGGCTCCGCATATCGATCTTCCCCTTTTGCAATCCATTATTTCCACAGAAATAGCAAAAAAGATATCGACATTGAATATGCCGGCGTGGATTGGTACGTTGTGGCTGTGGAATCGATGTCAACGCTGGTGGAGAAAGAGTGATTTTGTTTGTTGTTTCTCCCATCAATTCGCTGGGAGAATGGTGGGGGATCTGCAGCTGCCGAATCGTGGATCTCTGCTATGAGAGAGTGACAGCATGTGGTTGTGCAAAGAATGAAGAAGAAATAGGGAATGCGTTGTGGTTAGCTTGGAATAGGGATGGCAATGGGTAGGGTCGAGTGCGGGTTCATCTATACCAAATCCTAACCCTTCGGATAGAGCCTTCTAAAATACCCAATTAAATTACCACCGAGTATGGAAATGATATAACCATACCCTACCCACCGGATAATCATGGGTATTCGGGTAACCATGAGTACGAATCCTAAAATATGAACTTATACACATATACGCACATACATACTGTTGTCCATTAAATATTGTCAATACTTGTGTTGTTCTAGTTACAACAATCCACATAAATAAAAACCGAAAACACATAATAGTTGTTCTTGCTTCTACAATCCACACAAACAAAAACACAATACATCATATTTGTTCTAGCTTCAATAATCAGGGGAAACAACCACACAACCACATTGAGCACAAGTGGACAAATCGTACAATAAACAACAAAAATGGGCAATAGGATTATCAGAACTTACCAAAAGGGAGGGAGAGGCTAGCTTCCCATACGAGAGCTTGTCGGCGAGTCGCGAGCGAGAGAGGAGCAGATCCCACGACTGACGGAGACACCGACTTGTCGCGAACGAGAGGGGAGCAGGGGAGAGCAGGTTGCACGACTGACGGAGACGCCGACGAGTCGCAAACGAGAGGGGAATAGGGAGAGCAGGTCGTGCGATTGATGGATACGCTGGCAAGTCACGATCAAGAGGGGAGTAGGGGAGAGCAGGTCGTGAGTCGAATCAGAGGGCTCAGGTCGAGAAAGAGAGGGGAACATATTAGGGTTCGATCGAGAGAAAGCTAGGATCGCCAGCTCGGCGCTCCTCTAGTGGGGAGTTCATCAGGAAGGAAGGAAAGAATTGACGTCGGCGGCTGGTGGAGTGTGGGCGGTGGTCTCTGGCTGGTTGGTGGCACAGGAGATATTAGGGATTTAGAGTAGTGTTTGGAGAGTTGGGGAAATGAGAGAGCCTGATAGATTTTCTGCTGCCTCTTAGGATTAGGGGGAAATCTACCCTTTAGTTAGCGGGGCGGGTATTAGAAATTACCATACCCGTACCCTACCCGCATTTTTACAACCGGATATTACCTGTACCCGGCCCTTAACCCGTCAAAGCGGGTAATTATCCACATTGACTGGTTACACTCGGATAGGGTACCCATGATTTCGGGTTGGATTGCCATCCCTAGCTAGGAAGAAGAAAGGGGTAAGAGATGGGGAGAAAGGAGTGCGGTTATTTTTATTTTACCTTTTAATTCTTGCCACATCATCAAAATCTTTCCATCTCAGCAATTAAATTGCCACATTAGAGTCAACTAGCTATTAAATTGTTTTTGAAAAGGTTTGTCTACTATTTTATTTAAAGTAGAAGGTTTGACTTTTAAATTGTATTTACCCTGATTTTTTTAAATGATACAAACGTTGTCGAAAGTAACAACATTTTATGCGGTGAGACCGCTTGAAAAGAATAAAGAATAGACATCCAGTGTAAAATGAACCACCACTTGCACGTATCAAAGACACGAATTCTACTCCCAAAAATAATTATTGAGATTCCAACTATTTGTCTCTGTTTCATAAAATTATCTTATAATTTAAATAAAATAAGTTTAAATAATAGCTTTAGAGGCAATTATCTTATTTGCAGCTATACCTTATATAAACAATACATATAAAGACAAATCTAATTGATTTTAGAAACAAATATAAATGTTACTTATGATATGTCATATAGAGGCAAATCAAATAGTCTTTAGAGTCAAATACAAATATTATCTATGTGTATGTTATATAGAGACAAATAAAATAATTTTTAGAGATAAATACAAATGACTCTTATAGGCAAATCTAATCAATTTTTAAAGTGAAATCTATAAAGTGACATTTAAAATAACATTATTATTTATTCATTTACTCATTTTTATTCACTCATTGACGCGAATATATAAATGAAGAGTTCAACTTTTTTTTTTATCTCGGTCAATGGGTTTGATCGCTACAAAATTATTTTTCATTTCATTTAATTAAATTGATATTTTATTATACATTTATGCATAATAATATAACCCAACCAAAAAACAAAATCCTCCAAATCCCTTGAAAATAGTACTAATAACTTTTCACCACTTCCCCACGCAGGATGTAATTACAAACCATAAATCTTCCCCCAAGCTCTTTGCTTCTTCCCCAAATCTCCATATCAAGATCTCCACTTTCTTTGTACCACCACGAAAGTCCGTCCAAATCCCCTCAAACTCCAGCCGGCAAATTTGAATCATCCGGCGATAACTTGCTCGCCACCGCCAGTGCTGGGGTTTTCCAAGCATGCGTTCCAGTCAAGGAATTCGCATCGAATGCTGCCCAGTCACCTACGCTTGCGATGACGTCGAGTACAGTGAGCATCTTTAACCCGCCGAACATAAGTGAGGATTGCACAATTTTTCAAGTTACTGTTATAGTAGATCTGAGATATTTCGTAAATGTATGTGTGATTATAACCTCCTATATCCTCATATGATGTTTGTCTATGTTTTCTTTTCAAAATTCTTAGATTTTGATGATGGTCGCCGGAGAATGGCGAGGTGGTGGCGGCCCAGCAGGGTCTCTGTGTCCATCTGTGAATGACTTGGTGTTAGTCCAACGGTGATTCGACGTTTGTCTGATTGTGGCCGGCAAAGGTTGCAAGTCACCATATACCATCATTCACGACGATGGGATGGAGAGCAAGCGTGGTAGTTGGGATATATATATATATATATATATATATATTTTTTTTTTGTGTTTAGTGTATTCGGGATGTATACATCGATGTATTTTTATGAGTATTCATTTTTTATAATCATGTATTCGTGTATTTTAAGAATGCAATATTACTATTTTTTTATGTTCTCTCTTAGATACGCAAATATATGCTACTCCGGAGCATATTATATATCACAAAAGGAAATATTAAATTATTATAAAATTTGAAATAGAAAAATTATTTACTTAAAAATTTACGAATTGGAAGCACATATTTGTGTCTCCGTAAAAGTTTTAGAAGCAAATATAATTATTCCTGAAACTCATATTGCAAACAAATAAATTTGTCTATAAAAATAAATAAGAACATATTTAACAAGCTCTTAAAAGTAGAATTACAATTAAATAAATTTGTTTCCAATTCCTTAATTTGTAACAAATATTATTTGCCTCTACATTTGTTTCTAAAAGGAATTAGAGACTGAGACGCCCGATGCAAATAATATATCTAATTCAAAAGACGTTTAGAAACAAATAAATGACTTTTAGAATCAAATAACCTCTGTCTCTATAACAAGTTTTTCTTTTAGTGTCATGTCCATCTAAAATCTATAGGGACGTGTCGCCTCAACAAAGGGGGCCATGTTCGTATAGAAATCGAGGAGCATATGCCGCCCCAAGACCAAGATTGAATGACTGAAAAATAAACTAAGTCTGGAAGAGGTACATGCCGCTTCAAGGAGAAGCACGTGCCGCCTCAACGAAAAGGGACATGTCCATCTAGAATCTATAATCACATGCCATCTCTAAAAGGAGACAAAAAAATGACTAAGTCTGAGAGATCCATGCCGCTTCACAAGAAGTGGCATGAACGCGAGACAAGATGAGACATCCATGCCGAGTCAGGAGAAGGGGCATGGATGCGAGACAAGAGGCCTAGGCATGATTGGAAAACTAAGTATGAGAAGACCATGCCACCTCAAGAGAAGAGCCATGTGCATGATTAGGAGATCCATGGCCGTGTCACGGGAGGGGCCATGGACCCAAGGCCGTGAATCACACTTTAAAGAAGACAAAAATATTCTAAGTGTGGAGAAGGGCGTGCTTCTTCAACGAGGAGAGACATGTCCCTCTAGAGATCGAGAAGGTCATGTCGTGTCATAGGAAGGGCCACGAGCATGAATGAGAAGTCCATGGTCGTGAATGAAGAGGCCATGCTGCCTCAAGATCAAATTCGAACGATTGAAAAATACTAAGTCTGGAAAGGCCATGCTGCCTCACGAGAGGGGCCATGTGCATGATTGAGAGGTTCATGCCGCCTCATGAGAGGGGCCATGGACACAAATAAGAAGGGTGTGGTGATGGAGCATTATATCACTAGTGACTGTCTCAAGTGGTCCATGGCCGTCAGACAAGGAAGCCATGGACATGAGTAAGAAGTTCATGGTCGTAAGAC